TTTCTTTGACTTACAATTTATTTAAAAAGACATTGTATGATATCTTCTAGTATTAGAAACTTTAAAAAGTATATTTCCATTTTCTGTTGACTTATAAAAAAAAGAGGTTTGTGCCTATGTTATTTGCTTATTATTTCTTGCCTATGTCTTATAAAATGAGAAACTACTTTGGCAATAACAACACACAATGTACTAACCATTGTTACTCTCCTAAAATCTTGTTTTGAAATTTTGTACCACTGTTTTTATTTTTTTTTTCTTTCTTTAAAATAAAAATAACTGATGTCATAAAATAAAGTAAAAAAAAAAAAAAAGAACTCTACTTCTGGACACATGGAGGCGGATGCAGTGACCAAGGTGCAGACCTAACTCCCAGGGTGTGTGTGTGTGTGTGTGTGTGTGTGTGTGTAGCATGGATGTGAAAGTGCTACAGGCTAGAGCACAGCTAATGGACAGAACTGCCCCTCAAAATTGACTTGGTGGCTGCCATGACCCTGTAGCAGGTGCCCTTGCACCTCCACCCCCATTTGACCCATGTGGGGATACACAGCACTGCCCAACCTGTAAAGGACCAGCAGGTTATATTCTTCCTTTGCCAAAGGACACAAATACACCTAAATCTGTGTAGACACAGCTATGGCCTTACACAAGCTTTGACTAGCAAGGACTAACAAGACCGCCAGTCAAAGGTCTTTAGATGTTACCTGTGCTATGTGGGTCTCTGTGCCCCATGACAGTGACGTGGCACCCACTGCAGAGGACATGCTCCTCAGGACTGGGCCTACACAAATGGTGTCACTGTATTTTCATCCACTATTTAATAACCAGGCAGCTGGGCTGGTGGGAAAAACGACTCAGTACATCCCCTCCTCCTAGGCAAACAAACCTACCTTGGCTGACCATAAATACCTGCACAGCTGTCACAACTGCCCAGACTCGGTCCCACAGGTGTGCCTACATCTGGATGCCATCTTGCCAGCCAGAGATGATGCACAGAAAACACTTCTCATTAGCCTGCCACCACTGAATTGGGAGAGGACAGTTCTGTGGCAATGCAAATGGCTTTTCCCTCCTGCACAAATCAGCTATTTCTTGCATGAGGAGTCTCTGGCCCTAACTTGATACCCCTTGAGTCTGTTGGACTGCGGACTCTATGAGCTGAAGGAAGTGTCTCTGAGCACTAAGTTGGCCTCTGGCCTGGCATGCTATTTTGATGTATTTCTGACATCATCACTCATAGACCCTATCCTGTTGGTTACGTGCAGAATGCTCCACTACACCAGTGTCTTGTCAGATGGTGCAGATACACAAATTCCTCTAGAGCCTCAATTTAGTCTCTAGCTGTGGTCTTTTCAGTTTTCCCTATAATGTGGTTATCAAGACAAAACGTCCATCATACGCCTCATATCACATATGAAAGCCCAAATCAATGCCTGTTCTATGGGTGAAACACAGGTCACTGGTTTGGTTGAGACGGCTGGTAATTACTTGCATAACTATTGTCTCTTCTGGCACATGCTTGTACCATTGTTGGGACCCTGTGTATATGCTGAGCACATGCCTTATGGCATGCTGCACACACAATGCTAAAACACTCTGAAGGTTCAGGGCACATGGCAGAAGGGTGGCATATGAGTTCTTGAGCCTGTGATGAGGGTGAAAGGCAGGGATTCAGCTTGATGTCACTGCAGCTGTAACCACTACGATGGCCCCTGAGCCACCCTGATTGATCTTCCTTGGTTCTCCAGCATATTATAAATTTTAAGAAACTATTGAGTGCATTTTATGATTGCACCCTAGCATCATTAACACTAGACTGTACCTAACACCTTTAATGCTACACCTTGAGATAAACCACATACATCCCAGCTTGGATGAAGTCATGTTTGTGCCTTCTACCTTACAGGCTCCCTTCCACCGATGCAGACCACAAGGATCCACTCACTGGTCTGGCTCTGCTCAGGACTAACTGTAAATTTCCCTGTGGAACCCTGGGTGTCTCTGCCTTTTGTCTGAGCTTCCTGGCACCTTGCGGGCTGGTCTTCATACACTGTGACAGCGTCTTTCAGGAAATGAGGTCCCATCCCTCAGGAAGCTCACTTTGAATTGGAGGGCCAGCCTGAACTGCACAGTAGAACCCTGCCTCAAAAAGACCAAAAAACCCCCCAAAAAACAAAACAAATAAATTGCAGCACAACTGTGTACATGTGCAAAAGAATGAACTGGAACTCTTAGCTCAAACTAGTTATAATATTATGAAACTTTTTTTTTGGCAGAACCGGGGATTGAACTCAGGCCCTTGGGCTTGCCAGGAAAGCACTTATTCCACTGAGCCATCTCTCTGGCCCCTTTAAAATTATGAAACCTTAAAGGAAAAAAATAGCAGTAAATTTTTCTGGACTTGGATTGAGTAAAGGATTGCGATATAACTCCGAAAGCAAAAGCAATTAAATAGGATTTTGTTAAAATAAAAAATGTTTCTGCTTCAAAGGCCACCACCCAACACGGGAAATAGGGAAGCCCACAGAAAAGAGAAAGTCCTGCAAATTCTGTATGTGATAAGGAACTGTGTCCTGAATCCACACAGATAAACTCAATGGTGCAGAGACTTGGGTGTAGTGCTGTGCACCTGTAGTCTCAGCTATTTGGGAGGCTGAGGTAGGAGTATTGAGTCCAGGAGTTCAAGGCCATCCTGTAACACTGTAAGACTGCCTTAAGACTTAAAAAAGAGGGCTGG